TATTCGACTTAAAGCCGTCTTTAACGTCTCCTCCGGTGACTTTAAGGACATAGTTATTGGGTTTTTTTCGACCGTCCACGTCCTCCAAAGTCTGTCATCAAAGCCATGATGAAAGGGAGGGGCGAGGCGGGGCGGCGGGGGGGGGGGGGGGGGGCTCAGAACACCAAGCTGTTGTATTAATCTGCAAATTTTCTCAGATGACGCAAAGGCTGTGACTTTGCCTCCTCATCTGCACACGCCTGTCAGCTGGCCGGTCCCCATGCCTGGCTCTTGTCGGACGGGAGACAGCGACACGCAGCAGGTAAGCCTCCTCCTCGCCTCTTCCTCGCCTCCTCTTCCTCGCTTTCCCCCCCAAGATCCCCACGGCTGGCCCCCTTTAGGAGGGCGCCTTTGATCCGACCTGCGTCTCTGCTCTGACTCGCTCATCTGTGATCAGAAGCTGATTGAGTTTTATCCCCTCTAGAGGGAAGGGATGTATTAGCCTGTCATAACTATTATTCACACATCTGAAAATGTTTAGAGAGAGCTCTTAAAAGCTAGGGAGCCCGCAGCCTCTTTACGAGCAGCGTGCGATGGAAGAGATTCCAAGCAGAAATAAAAGAGTTTCCAGCGTGTCTGCTTGGCAAAAGAGAGGAAAATGGATTTGCTGTACGTAAGGAGTGAGCTGCGGGGAAACTCGGTCCTGCTGGGCCGAGGAGCGGTGCAGAAAACCACGGCTTCAGATCAAAAAGGGGGGAAAAGGAGGGAGTTTATATATAGCAGGGCTTTACAAGGGTGAAGAGAGCAGATGTGATAGACAGTCTGTGCTTAAGGAGTTCAAACAACAGATTAATACACTGAGATTATCATCCAGAGACAAGGAGGGGGGGTGTGAGCTCACATTCACAATCATGCTCACGCAAGCTTCATTTTTTTTCTGACACTGTCACCACTTTTCCATCCACTCTGACATCTTAACACACACACACACACTCAGAAGTCCGTCTTTGGAGAGGTTCTGTTGGCAGGATCCTGAAAACTGGTTTTAGTGTTCATGTCAATGGAAAGCGTAGTGGGTGGATCAATCAAATATATCAACACAAGAACTGAAAAGTAGACTAAAAAGTGAGGATTAAAAAGACAAACCAGTAGCTTCAGATTCTCTGATACTGGTCGAATGTTCGTTTAATCCTGAAATAATACTAATTAATTCATTTCTGAATCTTGTGAAAGTGTAGAGTCAATTTTTTTCCTGCATAAATCCCAAAGACTTGAGATTTGGATGAAAATATCTGTAGATGTTACAGCGACTTTATTTTTTAATGTGGTCAACTTTAAGAAACGTATTGAGATGTTAATTTTGCACTTGACTCTGAACGAGCTGGATGATGAAAAGAAGAAGTGCCCCCTAACAACTTAAAAAACTATTGTGTGGGTGAAGAGATTTTGCCACCCGGTTGCCGGTGGCAACAGGTCAGAGAGAGGTTTTAACTGTTTGCAAGCGTTAGACCTGCAGGAACCTCAGCGTTTCTTGACAAACATTCAGAATACAGCAAACCCGCCGAAAATCCACCAAAACCAGGCAAACGCCAACAATGAACCCACTCAGCTGGGATCCATAAAGTTATCTACACAGCCTGAAAGGACCTCGGCAGGACCACTCGGATCTCATGTAGCCCAAATAGGGGTTAAAGCGAGTTCAGGCGCGTGTGGTCAGCCTGTGAGCGCGTCCGGCTCTGATTGACCCTGACAGTTACTGACAGAGTTAATATGCACCATTCGGCCCCCCCCGGCCGCGGCGGTCTGGTGGAACCATCAGCCGGACACATGTCTGAAGGCAGCCGGGCATGTGCTGGAGGCATTAGGGGCTCTGAGGTGCAGACGTGTGCAGATGGGGTCCAGATATGGTCCAGATATGGTCCAGATAAGGTCCAGATAAGGTCCAGATATGGTCAGCGGTCAGCCTCTGACAGCGGAGGGAATCGGACCCCTGTGAGATCCAGTTGATTTTAAAAGCTTTAGCCGTCAGAGGCTTAATGAAGACTGATAGCTGATCGAATTTGCGGTGGGGGAGACCGGCTTAAGGTTTTCTAGATGATTTTACTCGTTAACAGAGAGACAGATAAGAGAGTCCATGGAATTAGATCTGAGGTGATCTTTTCATGAATTCCTGCTGGATTTAAAATAATTTGCTCAATACAAAACAAACATTCCAAATAGCTTTTATGTCATTTTCAAAGACATAAGGGCTACAGAAAAATGTCCACGTTTTAATTTGTAACACCTTTGATCTTTATGTAGGAGGGTGACTTTATCAGGTCCACTTTTTGGCTGATTTAACGATTTTTTGCTCTTAAATGTAAAGTAAACGATAAGCTGACTCGCAGTAAAAACAACTTATAAAGGAAAAAATCCTAAAAATATAATGTGTAATAGGTGTTACTGGTAAACATTGAACCTTCATCCCACACACAACCTTTAAGAGGCCTCAGTTGTGTCCAGCTGTGGCTGATTTCTGGCCGCAGCGTGCTGAAAGCGCTGGGCGGCTGGCGCTGACCGAGCTGCTGTCCAGGCCCTGACCATCCTCCTTCCCCTCCGCCCAGCGAGAGCTGCGGGGGGGCGGGGCGAGGATTACATCTCCATCCCTTTGCAAAGCTCACACCAAACAATCAACTACTGGAAATAATCCTCTGAGACACAGACACTCACACACACCCGCACTTACACACAAACACGCACACAGATGTCTGCTAAACGGTGTGTTGCAACATACTGTATGTTAACACAACACAGGTTTTCTTCTCTTCTCTGCGATCTACTCTTAAAGACTGATTCTGGTCATCCTCCTTTGTGAAGAGTGATATGTAACGCTCAACTAGGAGGAAATTTGGGGTATATTTAACTGAAATCTACCTAAAAAATCCAACCCTGTCTGAACTTAAAGTCAAATCCTCCAGTAAGTATCGCAGTAAAATGACAAAAGCTCTCATGTGAGATGCCTTCAACTTAGTTTTTTGCCTGGACAAAGCACTGGGATACGCGACCAGTGGAAGGTTTGGACCCATCTGCTCTTTCAAAATGTATAAGAAAGAGGCTCCAAAAGGTCCAGAGGAGGTTTCCTTGATCTTTATAAAACTGCTTTGTTCATTAACACTTAACACAAGATGTGGACGCACAGTCCTGGCCTGATGGTCGGTGCGGCCTGGGTTCATTTATAGGAATCCAAACCTGCCCTGTGGGGAGATTAACTCGTCCTGGAAACCAGTCACGATTAAGGAGACGCTCCTTAGGAACGGGGCCACGTGGAGGCTGGCTGTGAGGTCATCCGTCCATCCCCAGATGAACGGCCACGTGTCCACGGAGGGTCCTCGTGTTACGGTTTCCTGTCCCTCCTGACTCGGGATTCATCTCTTTTGGCTCTCTTGCCGAAGCCCTCTCTACTAAAACATGTTTCAAAGCTCCTGCACACAATGGAAGGAGCGTCGGGGGGGCGGGGGGGGGGACAAACCTGGCAGAGCCTCAACATGGGTGTCATGTCTGGACAAGATCCAGAATTTAAAGTAAGCCGCCAGACTGATCTCAGGCCTCTGATTTTAATTACATTTTGTCGGGGTTTGCGAAACTTTGATATGACGCGACAGGTCTGCCGTTCCAGTCCTGGATCCTGGGTCCTGCTACTTTAAACCACATCTGATTCTTTTCTGTCAGGAATTCCTCAGGCAGCAAATAGCTGTCCTCACTTGAGCCGGCAGGACAGCAGAGGAGCAGCCGATTCCTCGAGGAATTTTTCCCATTTGCTGCTCCGACATTTTCCTGGAGCAGCGAATAATCTGCCAGCAGGGAGAGGAGGGCAGATCTGCGGCTTTGGCTCTCAGAGGGAGCGTGTCTTTGGAGCTCACAGTCTCCATCATCACCCTCTTTTCTGGGTGTCATGAGGCTCCTCCGCTCTCACCACCACCGATTACCCCCCCAGATAGAGACACCGGTCTGTCGGGTTTCTCCCGTTTCTCCACCTCTGGTCGGTTTTAAAGCAGACCGCCCCTCACGTTCCCTCCAGCCTCGTGTAAATACGATCATGTGATTCATGCTAAGAATGATGTAAAGATTTAAAAGAGGATTTGTGGAGACTGTAACAGTGGAACCCCTCCCCCCCCACCCCCACCCCCCCCTGTCCTCAGCACCATTCACTGAGGGATTATATCCGAGCGATTGAAAGTTGGCAGGACATCCTCCGCCCCTGAAATGTAGCCTTTCTGATCACCGGCTGTGTGCTCGGAGGGGCAGGCATGGCCGCGGGCTGCAGGGGATGAGAGGCCGGAGAGGAATCCCGGGGAGCAAACAGAGCAGTAGGTGGCATTTTTCCCGGGTTCTCCGGTGGGACGCGCGGCGGCCGGAGCCGATCCATAAGCTGAGTGATTGTAATCATCTCTGATTGCGAGTCCGACTGTTAGTAAATGTTACGTTTGCACTCGCGACGAGGATTCGGCCCCAAAGCCCGGCTCCCCAGATGTGTTTACGCATGACGGATGTCTGGGGACAGTGGCCGCGCAGCTGAAAGGCCTCAGCTGGGAACTGCTGTGTTTTTAGACAGCAGACAGACTCCTGTTGACCCTTTTTTGACTCTTAACGGGGGGCTTTTGCCCCGGAGGGACATCAGCCATCCAGTGTTAAAACAGGTTGTAGAGACTGCTTTGGTTTAGAGGAGCTTTTGCACATGGACTGCATCTTTTTCCACATTTAGCTGATCATTTCTCCCTCTATTTGCGGTTATTCACTCTGATATTTTGAATGATCGTCACATTGTCCTTTTTCTTGTCGAGTCACCCACATTCTGTGGATGGCATCAACCCATTCAGGTGATTTAATGGAGGTTTTTTTTTTTTTGTGAAGTATCTAAACAGCAGCAGGAGGATATTTTTCAGTGGATTAATCCAAATCACTCCGTCCGTCCTCTGACCTTCTCCGTAGCAAAACCGGCGGCCTAAACGTTTTCTTATCCCTCAAAACGCCTCATCGCCACAATGGGAAGACAGACAGTTCGTGGAGGCAGTCGAGGCTTCAAGAAAGTCCATCCCAAATCATCTGGTGAGTCCCACCGCTCAGCGGGCCTCATCATGCTGTGGATGGATCACTGCGCTTTAACGAATGGGAGAAGCGCCAGGGCGCAAGGCCCCTCAGCAGCAAGCCAAAAGGATCATTCTGTCCAACAATTTTGTTTATTAGCTCAGCCTGCTGTGACGAATATTATTCCTGCTCACTCAGCTGTGTTTATTCTTAATAGAGAGAGTAATACAGGGAGCCCGGTGAGTCATCCCGACGAAGAATTCAAATCGTATAAATCTCACTTTCAGATTTTTTGGGGGCTTTTGTTTTTATTTATCTGAATGATGTTTTGGATTAAAGCATCCGCTGAATGAATCAACGTAAATGTTTTCGTCGCTCTTTGATAGTCCCCCGGCCCTACTGGCCCCCACACGCGTGTTTTTCCTGTTAAAACACAAGTTTTGGAGGCTTTCCCCTCATGTGCAAGTTGAGTCATGAACATTCTAAATTGATTTCCAAGGAAAAGAGTACAAAATGCAACATCTGGAGGGAAATATCGTGCATAGTCTAATGTTTACATCCTGTGACTTTAAAAAGCGGAAACTGAAACACGGTAGAGCTGTCTCAAATTAAAAGTTTGGATAATGACAGCCACATGACATCTGACCGAGCACGAGAGTGAAATGAGCTCCATAAACTGTGATCTTTCCTCACAGAACACACGGGTTATCAGACTTGGTCATTAATGCAATGACAGATGTAAAAAGGCTTTGTTCTCCATTTTCTTATCTTTAAAAATGTGGTTTTGGTTCATCTTGTCTTGAAGCATCCAGGTTCTTTGTGTCCATTAAGCATAAACAGCCCACCTAATGGAGTCAAATAGACTATTTCAGTTACAAAAGTGGGAAAATATGCAAATTCATGGATGTGAATGGAATTGTGTCTTTTACTGAGAAAAGGGATGGTTTGTATTGGGATAGGGAATCAGTTTCTCTGCTCTCCCAGCATGTGTGGAGCTCAATAAACTCAACAGATGAACACAAAACAGTCTGATCGTGTTACACAACCAAATATCCCATAACTAGGTCATTTTAACTCCCCTCTCTCTATTTATCAGCTGCTCAGGAAGTGCCTTTATTTTGCTTTTTAATGGCCGATGAACAGATTTTTCTCCCGAACTGTCCCAAATGTCGTGTCCTAAAATCCGTTTATTCATGCTGAGCTTTAGTTGTTACGGTTCTCCAAACTCAACAGGATCAACCTGCAACAAAAAAGACTTCACCGATCATTTGACGTTCATAGTAGTGAAGGTTTGACGTTGGTGAGCTGTATACAGGACGATAACTCCCATCTCTGTCCCTCTGCCTTCACAGGCAGGATGACAAACCAGCCGACAGCCAACCAATCCAAAACAAAGAAGGAGAAGGAGAAAGAAGAACCCATCCGGGACGACAACACGGACCTGGCCTTCAAAGATGCCGAGCACTGCAGCCGCAACACCCACAACCTGCTGCTGGGACTCACCGTTCTGGGTACGCAGCCCTGGCCAAGAAAAAGCCTTCGAAGGTCTTTGCAGCTCTAATCTCCAATTCGAGATCCCGTTTATTTTCTTAGGACTTAAAAACATGCGCCGCAAATGTCAGCGCATGCAAACCCGAACTCACTCTCCCATGAGACGGCTCGGGCTGGCTGTTGTCTTTTGCTCTGCTTCTGTAAACACTTTGGTATGTTTCACCACGGCAGTGTTCTTTGTCAAAAGCCCCGCAAAGCTAAGAAGCGGGTTATTTTTGTCTGTAATTTGTCACTGGGATTTAAACTCAGATATGAAGCTGTTTACATTACAGTGGATGGCTATCGTTAATCAGAGTGTGGCTGCATGTAAAACAGCAGGCCAGCGAGTTCACTCACAGACCGCCGGCCAAACAAGCACCAGTCCTGGTTAGATGGGAAAAAAAGCCAAAAGCAAAACCCCAAAATGATCTTTTCTAATGCATTTTTATAGGGTTGGTGGTTTATGTGGCTACTGTATGATATAATCTCCCCCCCCCCCTCCCAGGTGTCATTTTGGGAGCGGTGTTCGGGATGGTGCTGCGGTACATGATGGTGAAAGACGGCTCCGCCCTCACCATGGTTTCCTTTCCTGGAGACATCCTGATGAGGATGCTGAAGATGCTCATCCTGCCTCTGATCATCTCCAGCCTCATCACAGGTGAGCAACGTTTCCTGTACGGCTCCTCGTGCTCAGCTCTGTAACGCCACATGTGCCATCTCTGATACACTATAGTTCTGAAATATTTTGCATCATTTAATAGTAAAACGCCAAATAAAAAAAGAGTCAAATAAACCTTAGAAGACTAGACGACAATCGTTTTGACTCATCGGACAGTAAAAAAAACTATTCCAAATTTATTTCTGTTTATTTATTTTAATAGATATGACTATTACAGACAGCCCACTCAGGTTGTGGGGTTTTTGCCACTGATTCACCCTTTCAGGAGGCTATCAGCCTCAACCCAATTTATTTGGAAGTCAAACTACTTATTACAAGTTGAATAAATCCAGTCTGATTCAGCTCAGAGCTGAACGCTAAATGTTTGTTAATGCCTGCAGCAGATGAAACCAGCCTCCTGGTTTTAGGGAGTTTACAGCTTTAGAAGCAGGCTCTACACCATCCTTCACAATCAGTTTTAAATCCACTTCATTATAAAGTTATTTCATCTATTTATTTGACGATAATCATTTTCATATTAAAAAACGATTAACTTTGTCATCAGGGTTCAATTAAATTCTCACCAGTTAGGTTCCCTCATTAGAACTGTGTCTATAATTTGTTTATCTCTTGTCAAACATGCTCTTTGACCACAGGGTACATAAACAGATGTGGCAGTTTATTAGAATCACAGACTCTGATTGTGTCTGTAGTCCAAATCCACCTGTTCCTTCAGGATAGATGAAGTGTTTTGGATCTATTTCATCTTGTCAATCATCTATATGAGTTGATAGTTTTTACTTGTACCGATACCTCCACATCTGTAGCAGCCCTGAATGTGGCAGTAGACCTACAGAGTAGTACAATTTTAGCGTTCTCCTGATGGTTTTAAGTGAATGTGCTGTGATCCAGCAGCATGTTTCTGCAACGTCTCATTTTGCTGTTTTAGGAAAAACTTTTAGAACATGTACAGTAACAAAAGGATCTTTAAAAATCAGCTTGTGCAGAAATGCATTGTTTCCCTTTATCTTAAGGTCGGCTTTGGAGTTAATTTACATAAAAAGTGAGATCTTATAGACGTCTGTGAGCACATAACCATGCCTCTAACTAAAGCACACCCTTTTTTGGGGTTTGCTTTAGAGTGAGAGACAAAATACCAAATTCCTGTTATCTCGATAGTTTCTGTGGTTCTCAGTTACATTTGACCCAAAAGAATCTCGAGGCTTTCAGAGAGAAGTCCAGTGGCCTCATGCTCCAAACAGACCTACCACACATCAGAACTTTTATACGATTAGAAAATCATATATTTATATGATATATCACTTTAGCTTGGAATTTAGCCCTGATAGAGTCTGAGCATGATGGGGATTTTTCCTCATATGACACATCAAGTCCAATGTTGGGGTGCTCTGTTAAAGTTTACAGAGGTGTAAAAATGGTTGTTCCACCTATAAGTCAGGCTTTTTGAAAGGGAACGCTAAACGTCCCGGGTGTGTGTGTGTCTGCCTCCCTCAGGCCTGGCCGGGCTGGACGCCCGCTCCAGCGGCAGGATGGGCAGCAGAGCCATGGTGTACTACATGTCCACCACCATCATCGCCGCCATCCTGGGGGTCATCCTGGTGCTGGGAATCCACCCGGGGAACCCCAAGCTGAGGGGCAACACGGCATCCTCGGTGCCCAGGAACCAGGAGGTCAGCAGCCTGGACGCCTTCCTGGACCTCATCAGGAACCTGTTCCCGGAGAACCTGGTGCAGGCCTGCTTCCAACAGGTACCACAGACCGCTCCCTGGTTCTCCTCCGGTCGCTTACTAAACAAACATCCCGTTGCATTAGGGGAGGTTGTAAGTCAGTCTGTGACGCTGTAAACCGAGCAGGAACCCACCATGCTGCTGTTTGCCTGGTCTTTGGGCCTTTTTACTGCTGGATATTTGTGTTGGCTTGAGGTTTTATTGGAAAATGGCTGCACTTTATTGGTGGAAAATGAGTTGATTGCTCCACACACACATGCGCTTCACCGCCTCACTGTGGGCACTCCCGTTTTGTGACATGATTTAAAGCATTTGGACTGTCTTACCCCGTCTGACTGATTGTGTTTAAATGCCTTCGTATTAAAGTTTGCTTTTTGGATTTTAATCTGCTTTGTTTGCCAATGGGGATTTAACGCACTTCATCACCGGTTTCATGCTCGATCAGCAGAGGCTAAATCCTCCGCTTTACACAATCTATGCACCAACACGAGGAAAGAAATCTGATTTGGATCTCAAAGACTGGCGGCGTCGGGTCACATGAAGGGTTTCCTGTATGTTGATTAACAAAAATGACGATGCAAATCTCCGTAATGGCTACCAAATGCAAT